TTCTTCCCCCTTCCCACCCCCGCGGCAGCCATCCCTGCTGCCAGGGACAGAGGGGAGGCCCTGATGGAGCTGGTGCCCAGCCTGGGATTTCCCACTCCACTGGGATTTGCAGGGTTTATCTCCCTCTGCTCCACGCAAACACAGAGGCAGGCGGGTCTCGCCGCATCCCTGCGCGCTGCCCACCACGGCCCCGGGAAGAGCCGGTGCTCGCCTGGTTGCAAGACCTAAATCATTCATCTTGAAGACCACGTGCAAGACAAACTCAGATACCTTCTAATTAAAACAGATTACCACGAGACACGCGTTAATGAACAAGTTTCATAATCAATCAGCCCTAAGAATAATTGCTGGTGAAGCCGATGAGTCAGAGTGTCTAGGAACTATAATTACATCTTATTCTTCAGCTGTAATTAAAGACCCATCATATGAGAGCGAGAAGTTGCGGTGTTCAGGCTAGAAACATCTGGGCTGGACAGGGCTCTGGCTGCAAACGCCCCCGGGAAGGGTGGGAGCCTGGGAGATAAAGGAGGACCTGTCTGCAAACGAACCCCAGCCGGAGCACCCGGCAGCCCGTGGCACAGACCGGGCACTCATCCCAATCCGGGCTCCTCTCCAGCTTCTCTGGACACAAATCTCTCAAACTTGACTTTAGGCCAAAACATTTCCCTGCCCAGGACCCTGAGCCGGACCCCCAGGACTCCCGAGACGCCTCTGCAGCCCCCAAGTGCTGCTCCCCTCACCCATGCCTTTGCTGTGCCAAGGGCTCGGGGTGCAGCTGGCGCCCAGCTCGGCTCTGCTGGCACATGCACCTTGGGTCACCAAGTCCCGCTTGCACAAGCCTCACCCCGTGGTGTTCCTCCTCCTCAGGTGTTGAAAAATTATCAGCCAGTTTGCTCCAGGGATCAGCCACCAGCCCGGCCAGGGGATGTTTGTGTCCCAGCTCCGCTCATGGAGCGGGACGGCCCGGAGCCACCCCGTCCCTGGGCTGCACAGATCCGACCGGAGCAAAGGGAACGAAACTCCACAGGGACCGTTTCAGCTTCTCCCTTCGGGATAAATCTGTATCTCCACGTCAAACTGCACCTTTTTCAAGGAGTCGGTTTGTCTAAATGCCGCTTTTGAGGAACTGAAACCATTTGTAAATGGAATCCAAATTTTTCACCTGAAAACAGACACGGGAGTAGCATCCTCGGGACAAAACGTTTCATTTCCTTTTAAAAGGAAACATCTCAGCTCTCCAAAGGAACGTTTCTGTTTCGGCTTGCAGCGTTTTTATTAAAAGAGGCTAAAAATAAAACGTTGCAACCAAAAGCCAAGCAAACTCCCCCAAACCCAAGGCGTTACGGACGGCCGCCGCCCGTTAGCCGGGAGGG